CCTATTGAAACTTTTATGAAATTCCTCTATAAAACTAGTTAAATATATTCACTATGACTATAAAATAATCCCTACTATATTTCTGAATGTGGGTATTACAGGTTATGCCTTAGAGACACCGACTCACATACTGAACCGTGTGCTGTCAAAGTCTGTGGATAAGACTCCATACGAACTATGGAGTGAGAGAAACCCCAACTTGTCTTATATGAAGATTTGGGGTTGTAAAACTTATGTCAAAAAATTGACTTCGAACAAGATGGGCCCGAAATCTAATAAATGTATATTTGTGGGGTTAAGGAGACCAAATGATACAATTTTTACCACCCAAAAGAGCACAAAATTTTTGTTGCTCGTACTGGTTTCTTCTTAGAGCAGGAATTTCTTCTAAGAGGTACTAGTGGGAGAAAAGTAAAACTCGATGAAGTTCTAGTACCACAAGATACATTAAATGAAAGATGGGATGATGTGCCACAAGAAATGGTTGAACATCATGAGGAGGTTACTCCACAATCTGTGGATCAAAGTGAACCATCTCAAGTAGCATAGGAGCTACATAGGTCTGGAAGAGTATGTCATGAGCCTGAGAGATATGGCTTTCTCGTGACTCAACATGGCAACAACTTGTCTACCAAAACAATGAACCCAGAACCTACGATGACGCTATATTGGATCCAGATTCCGTTAAATGGCTTGAAGCCATGAAATCTAAGATGGACTCCATGTACCAAAACCAAGTATGGCCTCTAGTGGATCCACTTGAAGGGGTAAAACCCATAGAGCGTAAATGGGTCTTCAAGAAGAAGACTGACATGAATGGCAACGTGCATACCTACAAGGCATGACTAGTTGCCAATGGTTTCAAACAAATTCATGGCATTGACATAAATGGATATCAAAACAACTTTCCTGTATATATATATATATATGTGTGTGTGTGTGTGTGTGTGTGTGTGTGTGTGTGTGTGTTATTATTAATTAATATTAATATTGAAATAATATTAATATTAATAAAGATAATATAAAATCAAATTTAAAATTAAAATTAAAATACCATGTGGGAATTTCCTAGATTTGGCAATGGAATATGTCTAATCTAAACATGGAATTAATTGATTACGATTCCATATTAGATTAGGTTTTTGATTGCGCACTATTTAAAGTGCAATTAAAATCAAAACTAAATAATTCACTCAAAATAAAACCCTAGCCGCCCACTCTCTCTTTCTCTCACTCTCCCAAAACCATGGACTTCGTTGTTGAAGGAGAAGTTTTTTTTCCAAGGAAAAATTATGCACTCACATCCTTGATCCATTCGGGTTCAGCTAGCACATCGAGCCTTTTAGAGATTGAGGTCCTATCTTCGTGTGGATACCGAGAGCTCACTCTTATCTTAGACTAGAAGCGAATCCAAATTCATTGAAGGAGCCTCCAAACGCTGGTATGAAATATGAAATTATTGTTTAATGCTTATTTCATATGCAAACAACGTAAAACGGGTATAAGGATCCTAGGGTTCAAAGGTTTATGGATCAAAATATTTTTGTATTCCGCTGCGTAAATCTGATCCGTAAACCGGCATTTCCTAAGCCTAAATGTTCGCAGGGGTTTCACTTCAATGGGTTCCTCACTTGTACTCCATGAGACCTCAATTGTGAGTTCTTACAGAACTCTTTCCTCGGACTCAGTTAAAATTGCCAAGTAGCCTTCTACGAAACGTTTCTCTATACTTTGGTCACTGGACGACATTTCTAGTAGCTTAACTCCAGATACCTGAAACACGAAGAAACACGTGTTACTACCTATGTCGACAATAAGCGACATATCCACACTTACATTTAGTTCAGGTATCTGGAAAGCTCGCAAGCGAACACCCTACGATGACTTCTAGCAACCAACCCAAAATCCTAGCAGAGGATTCTGGCCGTCACTCATCTAGTGTTTCTAAAACCTAACTCAATGAGTTTAGATCAAGGTAACCACAAATACCCTCCTAGCAACAAAATGAAACACTTAAAACAAAGGAAATCGGAAAAGCAAGGTTAGAGTACTTACATGCAAATGGAAAATGATGATTTTCATTGGAAAATTGCAGTGGAAGAACTTAAGAGAATGTTGGTTGAGAGAGAGAGAGAGAGAGAAGCTGAAAAGTCACAAGTTAAATTTTCTAAAAAATTAGGTTGCAAAGCCCGTTTGATAGTGTCAAAAATTGGGCTGGAAGTGATCTGGCCGTTCACTTGATGATGAATCTCAGCCCTCCATCATCGAGCAATCTGATCCACTCAATCAGGACACGTGGCGACGATCCGTGAAGGGCGCACAACCGCCATTCCCAGTAATCATAACCGTAGCTACACGTCGCTTCGATTACACGCATGGCCAACTATCGTTGTAAAACGTGCAACAAAAATTAACTACCATGTACGACAGCATTTTATGCATAACAGGCCAGCTCGAAAGATTACCTTAATGCCCTATTATTTTGCAACTTTAGAACCGTTGAATGAAAAGCTTCAGAGTTTTAAGCACGTCACCGTGAGCCGAGGTTGCATATTACAGCTCGTCAAAATTCTAACAAATCATGTTTGCATGAGTTAGGTCAGTGAAGGATTCGAGCATAAACAACAAACCTCAAGGATTCAGTTTTCGAAGCTCGACACGACCTCCGAGCACTGGGGGGCATATGTTGTGTGTGAATTTTGCTGTAAGCTCGAAAATGTCAATAGCTCGTGAAACATGAAGCTCACTGACATATAGAGCTCGCTGCGATTTTAAGGTCTCAAGAAGATAAAGCTTGACCAAAGCAAAGTTCGTCGTGACCTACTTAACGGCTATCCGACGACTCAAAGGATAAGTCCAGATCTCTTGATATTTCAAAGAGGATATTGCCAATATCCTTTTAGCTCGACTTTGACGCACAATCGCAGAAATCACGGGATATACATCAAGTGTGATTGCTATCCCGGATTTAGCTCATTTTCCATTTTGAAATCCATGTATAAATACCCACAAAGAACGATGTAGAAGGGGTTAACAATTATTATTCAGTAAAAGGCAAAGCAATAAACACAGTGGATGTAGGTTTGAGAAGCAGCTCTCCAAACCACTTTAAAAACTTTTTTGTGTCATTTTCATTATTTTGTCATTTACATTACACTCTTTGCTAATTTTAATTAATCAGGCATATATTCGTTCATCACGGTTAGTTGGATCTCTTTGATGGTGCCTTTTTTGTTATCAACACTCTGCTTGTTCATGACAAAAAAGGAACCCCGGAGTCATATGTTATTCTCAAGTACATCGATGAGACTTGGGAACAAAATCCCCTGCTGCCTAGAGATCCTCATCAAAAAGCCATGGCACGTTTCTGGGCCAAATATGGAGATGAAAAGGTAAATATTCCTGTTCCTCTGTTTTCACTCTGTTTTATTGCATTTTTGCTCACTATTTTGTTGTACTTCATGCGTTGGTGTAGCTTTTGAGAATTGAGAGCTTCATGGAAGGCAATGTGGTCGAAAGGAGAGGAAAAAGCGAAGGCAATTGAAGAATCAATAGAAGCCTTGGAAAAGATCGAGGGAGAGCTCAAAGAAAAGAAGTACTTTGAAGGAGAGGGGATTGGGTATTTGGACCTTGCATTTGGGTGGATCGCTTACTGGCTACCCGTTTGGGAAAAAATTGGGTCTATGCAACTCATGGAGGAAGAGAAATTTCCAGCCATTACATCTTGGATCAGCAAGTTTCTCAGCCACCCAGCGATTAAAGACAAGTTACTACCGAAAGACGAGTGTGTGGAAATAGGACTAGGCAACACGCTAACAGAAGCAGCAAAATTATAAATGGCAACACAATTGAAGCTCTTGGGATTCTGGTGCAGCCCCTTTTCGTTTCGAGTAGAATGGGCCTTAAAGCTGAAAGGTGTTGATTACGACTACTTTGAAGAAGATATCTTTAACAATAGCTCCATGCTATTGGAACTGAATCCAGTTCATAAGAAGGTTCCTGTGCTTGTTCATGATAACAAAGGCATCTCTGAGTTTTTTGTTATTCTTGATTATGTCGATGAGACTTGGGAACAAAATCCATTGCTGCCCAAAAGATCCTTATGAAAGAGCCACAGCACGTTTCTGGGCTAAATTTGCTGAAGAGAAGGTAACTATTCTATTCATTCGTATTGTTGTTAATTTTACAACTCTTTTGCAGTTGAAATTTTCTTTGGATTAGAAGAAAAATTAGCCAAGATCTTTAAACCAAACTACCAAAGCCAGAGGATAATTAATGTTCAAATCAAGCTTGGAATGAAATAATTTTTTTCTTTAAAGTGTTATTTTTATGCTAAAAGTATTGAATTGGTATTGAAATAAATGGATGCTGTACTTGTAAATTAATGCTATATATCTACTGTTTTCATCGTATCTGTGGTTCATGTCCCATAAGTAATCTAGCATCAACTTTAGCTTCAATATTTAGTATATCAATCTAAATTTGTTATACCATATATATTTATTTTTAAAATTACAGTTATAGGATGATTAGATAGAACATTTTTCGAAGGCAGAGCTTATTAACAACCAATTTATGTCTTCATGACAGGGCTTCTAGCGGCGTGGCTTTTTCTTTGGGCCATGTTTTATTGTTGCAATGTTGCGCCTTGATTCTCAGCCTGTTTACTTGGGGCCTCTTTTTGTCTCATTGACTTGTAATGAGCATATTGTACGGAAAACTTTTGCTCAATTGTATCATGTTAAGGAAGATTTTTTATATGAAGAGAATATTTTCTAAAATGAAAAGTAAAAATTATAGAACAAACTGGTGGCAAGACTAGATAAACCATCATGGATGAAACATTTATTTTGATTGTTGCCATAAAACTTAGGAACGCGCTCCGGCAGTCTAGTCCTACAACAACCCCATTCGTACTCAGGGCTTTATTTCTGAACCTCTACATACATAGTCGTCCATACGGACGTACTTTGTTTACAATCATACACTTAGGGCTTAGCTCAGTGTCTCTGCCTCTCCTCCCTCTCCCTCTGTCTCTCCCTCTCGCTTTGACTCTCTCGCTGTGAGCTTGACCCTGGAGCGAAAATTGTCATCTCAGACCTACTCTCTTTCAATCTCCACGCATCTTCCCTGGATATACCAGACGAGTTCCTGATTGCATCCAATGGTAGCGCTCTAAACACTGAGACACGTCCAGCCAGCTGGCTGGTCTGGCTGAGTCCATTGGTCTTGAATGATACCCACTCGAATCTATCGCTGCTTGCTCTCTTCACCACTGCAAAGTTCTGTGGAACAACCACAAGCTGACCCTCACGAATTTCCTCATGGAATACAGATTCTCCATTCTCTGAGACAATTTGAATCCTGCCATTGCCCCTTGTGATGGACACTATGCTGTGAGCATTCACGTTCCAGTGAAGTGCCAGGATAGCATTCTGAAAACATGCAAGTATATAAGTAAATAAGCATTTTTATTAGTTAGAAAATTCAATTTTAAAATAATTGTGCACACTGTGACAGTCTAATATGTATTAAATTATTTTCTTACCCTGTGAAGTACTCCTTTCTTAGCACTAAGTTGCAGGAATCTAAGGATGGGAAGGTTTAAGGCATTGACGCTAGAGACGCGTCCACCAAGTGGGTTATAGACATCAGCGCGTGATGGGTCATTGATGTTGTACTTCAGCGTCATTGTGCAGAAGGTTTCCTCTAAACCATTTCTCTGTCTTCGCTCTCTTTCTTCTTCGTATTGTTGTTCTTGTTCTTGTCTGTGTGGTGATAGTACCTCAAGGTCCTCCTGAACTCTGACAATAATGCCCCTCTGCCTCTTCTCTTTCTGCAGTCTTCTGGCTAGCTGAGTGTCTATGTTGAAAGATTGTGCAAGTATCTCCTCGTCGAAGGCGCTCAAGATATTGTTGCTTTGCTACCCTAGTTGCCCATCTCTCTCTCTCTCTCACTCTCCCAAAACAAGGACTCCATTGTTGAAAGAGAAGTTTTTTTTTCCAAGGAAAAATTCTGCACTCATATCCTTGATCCATTGAGGTTTGGCTAGCATATAAGCCCTTTGGAGATTGACATCATGTCTTGTGTGGATACTAGGAGTTTACTCTTATCTAGAGTGGAAGCAAATCCAAATTCATTGAAGGAGCCTCTAAAGCTGGTATGAAATCTAAATTATTGTTTACTGCTATTTCATATGCAAACAAGTAAAACGGGTATAAGGATCTTAGGGTTCAAAGGTTTATGGATCAAAATTTTTGTTATTCCGCTGCGTAATATCATCCTAAACCTAATGTGGTATCAAAGCCTCTTATACCTATATGTTTTTAATATAACGTTTGGATGTGTATCAATTAGGGTTTTAACATGTTTAAATCGAAAAATTGATTAAAAATTGTAGTGGTTTATGTGTGTTGTTTTTGTGATATTGCATTTGTTCGTGTTTGATCGAATTAAATAAAACTTGATTTCAATCATTGGAGTGCTCTGTGAAGGGAATGTGTTGTGTTGTGTGCTGTCGCGCACCAGGTTAGCAAGCGTGCAAACACACACGCACTGGTGGAAGAATGTGAGCAGCAGCATGCTTGCACGCTGTCGTGCATGGGAGTGTTGGCCGCATGCTCAGGCATGTGCCTTGGTGTTCCGCCGCAAACGGCACAACAATAACTTGGCGACTACACAAAGGTTGTTGCCGTGAGCACAGTCATGGAGTGCATGCAGCTATCTCCCCATTTGTGCCATGTGAGGTGCCTCATGGTGTCCAAGTGCTCCCCACACTGGCCTTGACCAGCAATGGTTTTTCAACAAAGGACTTATTGGTGCGCGTTAAAAGCACACCAAATCTGGAATTTTTGGAAGCACACGTATGATGCAATGGGCTGAATTTTGGGCCTGATCACATCGTTATGCATAGTTTTAAATCCATAATTTTCTATTATATGATGTTGCATGTAGAAACATTCTGGAGGCCAATTGAGTGAGGGCCAATAACAAGGAACTAAATGAAAATTTTAAAATTGTTGGACTAAAACGAACACTGTCGAAATCAAGGGGTAACTTGTATACCAACTTAATCAAAATTTAATTTTGATTGTTTATGCATCTTCTTGTTTATGAATATCATGGTGTTTGGGGCATAAGATGAACCTAGTTTAAGAATTTTTGGATATGTAATTTTAAAATAGGGTTTGTGGCCCTGCCTTTTCTGTATACTCTCTAATGTAACTTCTCTCTCTCATCTCACTCCCCTTGAAGTAACTCGAGGTTTCTTTCAATTATGTAAAATGTAATTCTGTTTTGAAAGTTGTGTAATGTTTAGAAGAAAGCAATTAAAAGAAGAAAGCAATACTTGAAGAATCCATTTATTTATTTAAACCTAGGTTGACCAACCATTCCTCTAGGCTCGAGGGAATTGGTTTTAGTTAAGGCTATGCACCATCACATTTCCTTAATGGCTAGATGCATGCTAAGGGTGTATGTTAACTATAAGATGCTAATAAAGATAAAATTGGTGAGATATAAAATAAAAACCCCTCAAAAAGTATATTAAGTCAATAATTTAAAGCTTCCATCACCATGGGTTTGATCAAACCATTGTTCGTTAGAACCTTGTTTGTAAAGCGAAGGTACACTTTTACCAGTGGAGGTCAACATCATTGGAGTTTTCCTAATGGTGATGGGTAACTTAAATGATGTGTTTGCTGTTCGCCAAAGCGAAGGTTCATAAACATCATAGGCATGTAGAGAAGTACAATTGTTTGTGTAGTGGTGACATGTGTGTCTCTTCTATGATATTGAGAATCACACTTGAGGACAATGGTTTTGCCATTGAATGTGTGATTGGTTTGTGCGGGTAATTTGCATTGAGGTTGGTAGTAAGAGCATCACTGGTGTGTATGAAGTTTGTTGACCTACCTAATCAACCCATTTTGGCTGTTCACTAATGCAAAGGTTTGAAATAGCTAGATGGATCTCGATCCACTAGGGAAGCTAAAAGCTTTTGGGTAATAGTGAAGTTTTACTTGAGGAAATAGGGAGCAATTATTTAATAAAGACTTATTAAATAATAATAAAAATTATACAACAAATTTGTTTTTCTGCACTTGTAGATTCATTAAAATGGAATACTAACCTATCACTACGACCGATAATCAAGAAAGACAACAGGCTAGATGGATCCAATTTCTTGGACTGGTATTGAAATCTTTGGATTGTACTTAAGTCCGAAAAGAAATGTATGTCCTTGATAAACTTATCCACTAGCCTGCACCGATGCCACTCAGCAAGTTAAGGATACTTATCAAAAGTACTTGATGATGCTAATAATGTTCAATGCATTATGCTAGCATCAATAACTCTAACTACAAAAACAGCATGAGATATGGATGCACATGCCATAATTTTGCACCTCAAGGGCTATATCAAAAGAATACTCGACATGAGAGGTATAAGGTGTCAAAGGCATAGTTTAAGAGCTTAATGGTGAGGGAGCCCAACTTGGTCCTCATGTGCTCAAGATGATTGGGCATGGAGGCTTGGACTTTGGGTTTTGGTGTTGATGCAAATTACAATGTGACTTAATTCTGCAGTCACTACCAATTTTATTACCATTCTAATGAACTTCAATATTACATGATGAGAAGTCATCAGAGCTCCTAATATGCTGGGATTGTGGAGCGGGACTTGAAAAAGTCCAAACATGTTTTACGGTTGCTACTGGTAAAGGCAAAGGTAAGGGTAAGGGAAAGGCCAAGGTCTATCCCAGTCCAAACCCAAAGGATAGATGCTCTAAGCCTGAGGGGTGCAATTGGAAAAGTGGGGAAGTAGTATGCTTCTATTGTGGCAAGCTTCCACTAGAGGAAACACTACAAGGCTTTCTCGAAGCCAGAAAAAGTCAAACGCTTCAAATCAAGTATGTACATGATTGAGATTAATTCTCCCCTTAACATTGATGTGGTACTCAACTTTGTACTGATGTGTAGGAACTAAGGCGTAGATTGTCGCAAGGGAGAGGTGGACTACAGTTGAAATGAGCACATGTGGCTGCATTAGTGTAGGATCTTATTGTTTGACTTTTCCTACGAGCTTATTATTGGAACTAAATAACTATTAATCGTACCTTCAATCCCAAAATATTATTTGTATATGCTGTGGATGATATGGGATATCATTTTAAATTTAATAGATATGCTTTCCTTTAGTTTGAATGGTATCCTATTTGAACTGAAGGTATATAAGGATTATATGTCTTGATTTAAACAATAAGGATATTCTCAATGTTAAAACAAAGAAAGCTAAGCATACGAACAAACCCAACAAATACCTTTGGCATTGTAGACTGGGTCATATAATCAGACCCACATCGCAAAACTTTACAAAGATGGAGTTTTGGACCCTTTTGATTTCTGTCATTTAAGGTATGTGAGTCATACCTTTTAGGAAAGATGACCAAATCCCTTTCATAGGACAAAGTGAAAGGGCTGAATTGTTAGCATCATCCATAGTGATGTATGTGGTCCAATAACAATTGAAGCAGAGGTGGATATTCTACTCATCACATTTACTAGACTTAGTAGATATGGTTATATCTATCTTATGAGACAAAAATCTGAGCCTTTGATAAATTCAAAGAATTCAAGAATGAAGTACAGAATATGTTGGGCAAGAGTGTTAAAGCTCTTCGGTTAGATAGAGAAGGTGAATATGAGCTCTGGTTTTATGAATACCTAATGAGTGTGGGATAGTATCACAACTACATCTTTTTATACACCCAATACAATGGTGTTGTAAAAAGGAGGAATGGGACCTAAATTACTTGATGGTTAGGTCTATGATGAGTTAAGTGATCTATCGCATCATTCTAGGGTTATGAAATGTTCACTAGGCAAGTATTCACCTGAGTATCCTATAGAGAGAATCCAGAGAATTGCTAGTTTAAAAGGGTGTTCGTCTAAAATTGTATCTTTATCCAGTTATAAATACTATTATACAAAGATTATTTCTCACATATATAAATCCACATAAATCTTCACTGAGACGGTTGATGAATCCTCTCGCCAGCTTGCGTCTCGACCACTACCATCTAATACCTCAAAAATAAGGAAAGCAAGGGGTGAGCTATAATCCTCAGTAAGTAAACCAAATCAACTCTACTTTTAATCGCTTCCCATTTTTGTTGTACTGCTTCTAAATTTCTCTTGCTTTCTCTTTTTTCAGGCGTACTACTTAGCTCTTCTATTTTCTCAAATCTTTCTAAATCCTTCTAGTGTTGTGCTATTCTTATATTTTATTTCTCTGCTCGCTAGATTATAACTTTCTGTTTCTTTCTCTACTCAACAAATCGTAAGTTTCTTGCTATTTGTCATGTTCTAATTTTTGTTCTTTTCTTGTATAACTCTAATTTCTTTTCTATTCTCGACGCCTCATTTTCTTTTCTTCTCTATTTTCATGGTTTCTATTCCTTTCTTCTCTATTCTTATGGGCTTCTATTTTCTTTTCTCTATTCTCGTGGGCTTCTATTTCTTTTCTTGGCTAGTCGACACGCAATAATAAAATAAATATTTAATCATGCATAAATGCATGAGATGCAAGCAATAAAATGTATGATGCATATGCAAATGATCATGTTTGTATTCTTTCTGAAAATTCTTTTTAATTCTTTCTGAAATTCTTTCCTTTCTCCAATCTTTCAGTTTTCTATTTCTATTATTTTTTCTTTTTTTTCTTTTTTGAAATTTTTCTTGTTTTCTATTTCTTTTTCTGATTTTTTTTTCTGTATTCTGTTCTAATTTGCCGATCGAACTGGCTGAGGCATGGATTTGGAACCTAGCCGTGTGAAGATATCTAAATTCTTTGGGTATAGTCCTCATCCATATGCACTTTAGCGGACTGTCAATTCTGTTTTCTATTCTGAAGCCGCACTGA